GGCCGAAAGACTGCTGTGAGTAGCGAAGTAACTCGCAATGCGGGTATCGCACAGTCGTACCCCGAACCGACTAAAAGGAAGGGAACAGTAAAAAAACGCACTGTCCTTTTCCTAGGTTAGCAAGGACCGAAAATGCCGCACAACTGTCCTTACCCACAAAGCGATCCCAGCCCCCAAAACAGGCAAATTACAGTACTCGGAGTGGGGTTAGACACACAACTCTTAACAATTTCCCTCTGTAGAGCTTAATCTAATGCACAAAAAAAGAGAAGGAAGCACAGCCAAAGAAAAACTGCCGAAATTTCCAGCAAAAAAACCCAGTTGAGATAAAAACAAAGACACCCAGAATAACGAGACAACTATTCTCAAGATATTCTGTGTTTTCCTTTTTTTAAAGGATTAATTAACAAAATTAACAAAATGCCGCAACTGTAGGTGAAGCCAATCAAGGTATATACAAACAAGAAATAACAAGCAGAAAAAATTACACAAACGAATACAAATTTATTCTGACTCAAGAAATATATACAAGAACAAAAGGAGATTAACAGAAAACTAAGTCAAACAAAAAAACAGCCAGCCACCTTGCGCAAGGGTGAAAGGAACGGCTGAAATAAAAATTAATGCATGGGAGAAAGGAACCATCTTACCGTTCACAAGAACGAGAATAGACAGACAAACAAGGTGATCGAGAAATAAATGACACCGAAACTGCTGGTAGCAAAAGGAAAAACTCTCAAATATTTCAGAGCCGGACTAACACACGCCGATAGTTAAAGCACTGAGAAAAAGAGGAAGAACAAAGCGGCCGCCTTGGCGGGAGNTGCTAATAAAATTACAAACCCCGCATGTCACACACAGCGTTCATATCACAAGGTCAGTTGAAGGTCCCTTGAAAACAACCAACATTTTTAATGTGATATATGTAATTGAAGAATAAAATCTAAACCTATTGTGTTTTACTGACACGTTTGTTGGATGACTAATACGGAAATATTTATGTCCACCACTTTTTAAGCAAAGTAGTGATTACGAGTAAGATAAAACAACCACATTGGTATTCTACCTTTCAGTAAGAATAAAATCTCTGTCTTTTCGGAAAGACGTTAAACACCAGGCACATTTTGAAGATCACCTAAACGTATATATGTATGTAGACTTCTACATACTTTCCTCTTGCCCTCAAATGCTGTTTGAATAGTAACATTGCCATTATGATTTCCACAATTTTACGAGGAGTATAGTACAGAGTATATGAGTAAGATGATTTTTTCAATGAATTAATAGTTGTCTAGTAGTCTCTACAAGGCACTTACATGTTCATGTAAAAAAACAGGTAAGTTGCAGAAAACTTGCTGCTGTTTTTTAGGAAAGCAGTTGTTATGAAGATGTATGGTTTTTAATTTGTATTTTAATGATTGTGGCCAGGGAGAGCAAAGGCTTGAGGACATAGGGGACACAATCGCAAATGGCAGGAGTAAAGATCCATTTGTCTAATGTACTGCTACTCAGGGATGCGTAGTAGGTAATACTTATCTGAAGAGAAGCCACAACAAGCAGCGCCACATTTGCATGAGTGTTCAACTTGACGCATTCATGCATTTGGCAAAGCATGACATTCTATTAGTCAGAAATGTTAATGTGAGTGTTCCACTTGTCCACAAATGTTGGGCCACTGTGGTAATGGCATTCAATCCCAGTTGCAAACCTGCATACAAGTGACATCATTAGTGACACTTTTGTATGTCATATGACACCTCTTGAAGGCGCACCTTTCACCGTCCAATATCTCAGGCATAACGTCCGATTGGATTGAAAGCCAAGAATGTAGAAAGACAAAGATTGTCAACGATGAAAAAAAGTTTTAGGCAAAGACAATGTACAGGTAAAAAGTGTAGTTTCTTCGATTGGTTTTGGTTAACAAATGTACCAAGTTGGTTCTTAATAATTTTGCAAATTGAAATTTATGAGGTAAAAAGCATGACACATTTTCCTGAGGCCAGGGTCAGATTATTAGGTCAACTGGATGGTGCCATTGCAAGATTCTCAAAGAGTGTAGTTTCTTCGATTGGTTTTGGTTAACAAATGTACCAAGTTGGTTCTTAATAATTTTGCAAATTGAAATTTATGAGGTAAAAAGCATGACACATTTTCCTGAGGCCAGGGTCAGATTATTAGGTCAACTGGATGGTGCCATTGCAAGATTCTCAAAGAACAGGCCGCTGCAGATCATGCTTTCATTTCATGCTTTTATTTCATTTACTAGTAGTCCTCTAATTTGAAATGTGAAACTAATTTTAAAAATTAACCTACTGAAAACAACAAATCTCTGCAACTCGTGTACTTTTTAATGTGGAAGCAAATGCTTGCTTTTGAGAAAGATGACGTCACTATGAAAAGCAAAGAAAAGGGCAATATGAAAACCACAAGGAAACAACTGTAAATGAAATGCACATTCGAGGGATACAAGTGACCCAAATGGCTTATAATGACACCTCTGAAATAACTATAATAAAACAACCATAATTACAGATAGCTCAACACTTGATTACATACATACATTCTGTGACAGAGCCCCCGCATATAAAGGTGATTTCACACCCCATACTTCACCCCATGCTTTGCCACTGGAATATGCTCATACATGTATCATGTTGGAGTCAAACAATACAGTGGACATAAAATTGTACACTAAAATTAGATAATATGGTCCGAGTGGTTTGACTTAATATGACTGAGTGAGAAACGATTAGCCAATTAACCATGGTGGACACAGTGGATGGCACAATTGGAAGTCGATATGAGTAAACAATGATTTTCCCGAAACCAAAGAGTATCCTAATATTGTGTCAGTCGTACCTCAATCAGGCTAATCTTGAAATCAAAACCTCTCCAAGACCATTGCAAGACCACACAGGACAAGACTTATGACGTATTTTATTCAAACTTAACAAAGTCTTAAGTTTAGATTTCGTTTGTCCATATACTATCGGTACTTCAGTCAGCCGAATGAACTTGCCACCTTTTTAAAATTCCTGTACGATGGTACATGGAGCACGATGATTGAGTTCGAATGATTGACAGCACATGTATAGCTTTTTAGAGACTTTCAGACATTAACTGTATCAACAATGTCAGAAGTAATTAAAGTACTGTCTTTTGGTGCTCAAACCGAACATCTATAGAAGCAAGAATATTTTGGGATCCATGCCAAAAACCTCACTGCAGGGGCTGTCAGGCTTTGCGTGTTTCATTTATTATTACAAAGTTATAGCCAAAACAGAATATGGTTCAGTGGGTCCGAGATAACTTGGGGTGGGTCCAAGTTGACCGGACCTCTAACTGGTCACTTCACTGCCCGATGAAGCATTGTTTATTAGACAAATTCTCTGCGTTGCATCATTGAATAGGAAACACAAACTAGAAGGTGAATTTCAAACCACCAGTATTACGCAAAGCCATGGAAAAATGCATTTTTGAGGGCCACAATTGGTCTGCCTACTGACCTCACTTGTGTACTGTACAAGCACTCAAGAGCGTCCTGTAGCCCATGGATTTTTGCGAGACAAATTGCTTGAGCTGCGCTTCGAGGGTTAAATATGTAATATCATTTTTCTTGATTTTTCTCAAAGCAGTGATCTAAAAAAATGAGACGAGTTCGTGGAATGATACACAAAGTAACCACAAACCCCCAAATCGGCTAATGTTGACAAATTGCAGTACATGCATACATACTGCCTTTAATTTAAGATATGCAAGATCATTAGAAGTGCTGTTGCCACTTTTCCTTATCTTATCCAGTTCCAGATCGAGTCAGAAATCCTCCAGGCATTAATAAAATCAAGCAAGAAATCCATTTTCAGGTCACAGCCATCCTGTTTAAGCAGATATTCCGCTAAAGCACCACGTAACTGAATGTTTGTATTTTAAAAAATTGGAGAAATTGCTTAAACACTTTTGAAAATTTAGACTTGACGCGAACGCAATGACGTACATTAGGCACAGATTAATCGCAAATGGACCAATTTCCCGGAAATCACATCAAATCGATTGCGTGCGTGTTTACAATGTATTTAAATTAACACCGATAATGAACTAAGCAAAGCTATATGTGCCGTCTTTTGCGAATGTTGCGAACTGGAGACTCAAAAGGTCATTTCATGATTCGTCAGACATTCACTTTGTTTTGTCGAGAACCAGTTTAACTGTACAGTATTACAACATTCCTGTTACACTTTTTCTAAAAAAATGTGCATGTTTACCAGTAGCTTTACCGACCGCCAAAAAAAAAAAAAGGCCTCCAAAAATTAACCCTATCGACTAAATGTTTCCTTCCCCAAAAATCTTGCCTTCGATTTGATTCTAAGAGTTAGAAGAAAGTGTTCAGGAGATGCCTTAGATTGTGCAGACAATTCGACCGTTTGCCAGCTCTACTTCGGACAACTCAACCGTTGAGACCACTCTGTTGTTAGTCAAGTCGTCCGTCAGGACAACTCACCTTTGACAGAGATAAATCGACTAGTGAAATCTCTACACATAATACGGTTATTTTCTGGATTAGTTTCCAAAAAGTAACCATGCGAGCAGCAAATTCATTTTCAGCCAGAACCATTGTTAAAAGCTGATTTTCTAATGAAAAATTTCTCAAATTTGTTTATAAATAAGAACTCCAATAAATTTAAAGCGTGGATCTTGTGTACATTATGACTCAAATTTTTCAGCTACACATCGCGAGCCATCAGCGATACTACCTTACACCGAACAGTTGACGAACCCATTACGTCACACACATTCTGCAATGCCCGTATAGTAAATAGAGGGATCACAATACAACGTTTTTAGCGTCGATCTGCGCACTTGAAAACGTTTGAAAACGAGGCTGTACGTGTCAGCTTCAATTCTTAATACGACCAGACGATTGAAAA